TATATATATATATATATATACCACATCTTCTTTATTCATCCATTGATGGACATTTGGGCTCTTTCCATACTTTGGCTATTGTTGATAGTGCTGCTATAAACATGGGGGTGCATGTGTCCCTTCGAAACAGCACACCTGTATCCCTTGGATAAATACCTAGTAGTGCAATTGCTGGGTCATAGGGTAGTTCTGTTTTTAGTTTTTTGAGGAACCTCCACACTGTTTTCCAGAGTGGCTGCACCAGCTTGCATTCCCATGAAATCAACGTTTTAATATTTGTTAATTATATGTTTGGGTGTTAGGTTCTAAACTAGGCTTTTTCATATATTTTTTATCTCTGCAGGATAAGGTGACTTTTTGTCTCAGACCAGATTGTCACAGATTGACTAAAAATCAATCTCTGAGTTTCCCCTTGCCTTTCTCTCTATGTAAGTGGACACAGCATATTACAGTGGTTGAGTGCAGATTTTGAAACCAATTTGTTCAAAGCCGGTCTCAACTACTTACTAGCCCTGTGACCTTTAACAAGTGAATTATCCTCTCTGTGACTCAAATTCCCCAGCTATAAAATGGGGATAATGATCGCACTTAACTCCTAGATTTGCTGTGAGGATCAAATGAAGTAATCCAAGAGAAACGCTTCAGCTAGTACCTAGCTAAATGCTAAGTAAATGATAACTATTAAGTCCTGGTAACTTTTTTGTGATAGATACCATGAATTTGACCTGATCATTTCTATCCAACTAGATACTGCAATAGACTGCCAGCTAGTTTTACTTCCTTTGGTCTTATCCTTATCTAACTGACGCAGCATATCACTACTAGATTCCCCACTCTGCCAGTTCTGTATTATTCTACCTGCTTCTAAAGCTTTTGTTACTACCTGCCTAACCGTTTTATCTTCTGTATTCTCCAACTCGAACCCTTAACACCAGACAAGCAGTCTCTTATTTTCTTCCGCCAACTGTGTGTTCTCCAAATATTTGGGATTTAATTCCTCCACTCCCCTTAGCTGAAAGTCCATTTGCCTTTAACTTATTTCTGTCTACTTGCTTTTTAAAATCCCAGGCACTTCCCTGATTATGATGTGTAGCTCACAACATTGTATTATATTGATTTACTTTATTTTTTTAGTTATTTTATTGTTATTTTTTTAATGTTTATTTATTTATTTATTTTTTTTTTAATCTTTTTTTTAATTTTTTTTAACTTTTTTTTAAATTTATTTTTGAGACAGAGAGAGACAGAGCATGAACGGGGGAGGGTCAGAGAGAGAGGGAGACACAGAATCTGAAGCAGGCTCCAGGCTCCAAGCTGTCAGCACAGAGCCCGACGCGGGACTTGAATTCACAGACCGTGAGATCATGACCTGAGCCTAAGTCAGAAGCTCAACTGACTGAGCCACCCAGGCACCCCTTTAATAAAATTTTTTTAACAGTTGTTTATTTTTGAGAGTGAGAGAGACAGAGCATAAGCGGGGGAGGGGCAGAGAGAGAGAGGGAGACACAGAATCCGAAGCAGGTTCCAGGCTCCAAGCTGTCAGCACAGGGCCGACGCGGGGCTAGAACTCACAGACTGCGAGATCATGACCTGAGCTGAAGTCAGACGCCCAACCGACTGAGCCACTCAGGTGCCCCTATATTGATTTATTTTATGTAGAGTCATGGTTGGAATAGAAATTAAAGACCGTTTAAGCCTGAAAGTAAACATTTTTAGCATTTTTAACTTTAATCCCAAAATTCTTACTCAGAAGCCTAGGATTTGGAGCGGGTATCCTGACAAGTTGGGACCAATCTGAGCATGTAGAGATTTGGCCTTCTCCTCCCTACATGCTGCTCATTTTTTTAAACGTATATATTTTTAAGTTTATTTATTTATTTTGAGAGAGAGAGAGAAAGAGGGAGAGCAAGAGCATGTGATCAGGGGAGGGTTAGACAGAGAGGGAGAGAGAATCCCAAGCAGGCTCTGCACTGTCAGTGCAGAGCCCGACGCGGGGCTGGAACTTACAAACCACGAGATCATGACCTAAGCTGAAATCAAAAGTTGGACGCTTAACTGACTGAGCCACCCAGGCGCCCCTCATTTTTTTTTTTTTAAACTTCATTCCATTTAATTGTTTATAGTTTGTTGTTATTGGGCAATCAAAGGTGATCAGTTACTTCTTTTTTTTTAATCTTTATTTCTGAGAAAGAGAGAGAGAAAGAGACAGTGTGTAAGCGGGGGAGGAACAGAGAGGAGATACAGAATCCCAAGCAGGCTCCAGGCTCTGAGCTGTCAGCACAGAGCCCGACGCAGGGCTCGAACCCACAGACTGTGAGATCATGACCTGAGCTGAGGTCAGACGCTTAACTGACTGAGCCACCCAGGCACCCCAATCAGTTACTTCTTAATCACCAAGCTTTGTGATGGTGTAAATTTGTCGATCTGGACCACTTTGAATGCTAGCTTAGAGAATCTGTGTCTCATCTTGAGGCAACAGAACCACCAGAGATTTTTGTTTAACAGCGACAGTTTTGAAGGTTAGTCTGTTAGCAGTGATTGGGAAATACTAGGATGGGGAAGGATTGGTGGCAAGGAGATCAGCTACTGATGGCTATTCTCAAAGCACGAAGCACAGAAGCTCCAGTGAGGGGGTAATAGGGGGCAATCCCTGAAAGACTGTCTTCTCTGTCTCTGCCACACCCGGTTTCTAAAATCTTATCTGCCATTTCCCCACATCACCTCTGTTTAGTCTTCTTCTCTGTTATTCTTTCTCATCTCCTACCCTACTAGGTAGAGGAATTTTGAGTACCTGCTCACTGTCTCCCTTTTGTGCAGCTGAACTTCTTTGCCCCCCCATCTTTGTTTTCTCATGTTCTCTCAAGATTGCAAAGCTATTTTTGAGAGCTTTCGAGTTCCTGTGTTCCCTGTAAGCATTTTTTCATTGCTTTGTTTTTCATTATTTTCCTACCACATCAAATATTTTTCTTTCCTGTGTAGGAAATGGTACATGTGTATTCTTGTTTCTTTCAGACTGGGAGACAAGACCAGAGAGTAAGGACCTAACTCCAGAGCAGGATATTTCTGAAGAAGAATCAGCCCCTGGGGTGTTAATAGCAAGATTTCCAAAGGAAAGTTCCAGTGAATACGAGGACTCTTCAGAGAGTCAGCAGGAAAACCATGAGAAACATTTAATACAGGAGGTTGTCACTCAGAAGAAATCTTCTGGGGAGAGAAGTTACCAGTGTCATGAATTTGGGAGAAGTTTTAGTCGAAGGTCATTACTTGTTCAACAGCAAGGAGAGAGACTACATAACTGTGATTCATTTAAAAAGAACGTAAAACAAAATTCAGATCTAATGAGGCACGAGAAAGTTTGTGCAGAAAAGAAACCTTGGCAGTGTAATGAGTGTGAGAAAGCCTTTAGTTACTACTCAGCTTTTGTCTTGCATCAGAGAATTCACACAGGAGAAAAACCCTACGAATGTAATGAATGTGGTAAAGCTTTTAGCCAGAGTATACATCTTACTCTACACCAGAGAATTCATACTGGAGAGAAACCCTACGAGTGTCATGAATGTGGGAAAGCCTTCAGTCACCGCTCTGCCCTTATTCGGCATCATATAATTCATACTGGAGAGAAACCCTATGAATGCAATGAATGTGGGAAGGCCTTTAATCAGAGCTCATACCTCACTCAACATCAGCGAATTCATACTGGAGAGAAACCTTATGAGTGTAATGAATGTGGGAAGGCCTTTAGCCAAAGCACATTCCTTACCCAGCATCAGGTCATTCACACTGGAGAGAAACCCTATAAGTGTAATGAATGTGGGAAAGCCTTTAGCGATCGATCAGGCCTTATTCAGCACCAGAGAACTCATACTGGGGAGAGGCCTTATGAGTGTAATGAGTGTGGGAAAGCCTTTGGCTACTGTTCAGCCCTGACTCAACACCAGAGAACTCACACTGGGGAGAAACCCTATAAATGCAATGATTGTGCCAAAGCCTTCAGTGACCGCTCAGCCCTCATTCGTCATCAGAGAACACACACTGGAGAGAAACCTTACAAGTGTAAGGACTGTGGAAAAGCTTTCAGCCAGAGCTCATCTCTTACAAAGCATCAGAAAACTCACACTGGAGAAAAACCCTATAAGTGTAAGGAATGTGGAAAAGCTTTCAGCCAGAGTTCATCCCTTTCTCAACATCAGAAAACTCATGCTGGAGGGAAAACCAAAGAATACGGAAAAGCCTTTAGTGAGCATTCAGCCTTTGGCCAGCAAAAGAGAATTCATACTGGATAAAGACTATGTAAATGTGGTACATTTGGAAGATTTTTATTGAACATTTACTAAACGTGGTGTGAGCGCTACAAAGGAGTTTAAGAATGTGTTACAAACAAGATATTAATTGAGAAGTCATTGTTGACGTGGGACATAGCTTACTTAGAATGTGAAGGAGGAGTTTTACATTTTTTTCAGTGCAACAGAGGACTTTGAATTTCCCTGGGGAAAGAGGAAGATTATTTCCAGCACCCTAATGTGTATGTAAGCTTCCAAATCCTTGAGAGAGAAACAGGGTGTGCGATGATGGAAAGAAGACATCTTGTCTGGGCTGGGTCGTCTCTTAATGCTAAGGAGATGGAGTTTTAAAGAGATGAGTGGTTCTTTAGGGAAGTTGCAGAGGCAGAAATAAGAGATTGAGAATTCACAATGAGTTTGTCCAGGGTTGAGAGTGGAGGTGAAAGGGAAGTTGTCCTTAGGCTCAAGTACAAGGGCACTTAGGAGGTAGATGGGAAGGAGAGAGAAAGAGAACCGGGGGAATGAACTCAAGAAATGTTGATTGAGATAACTGCTCAAACGAGTGCTCCCAACTGGGGAAATATTCATCAGTTGGTCAGTTGCAGTTTCTACCCTGAAGCCAAGGAACACTGGCCTGGCAGTCTGCTTCTGCACTTTCTGTCTTTGAGATCTTGCTTGTTGATTTGCTGCCTGCTAAGAATCGCGCTAACTCCAAGGGTCAAGACTGACAGCCTAGAAAGTACAGCAGGGACCTTTGATGTTTTCAGTCTATTTTAAGCTACCTATTTTAAGCTAAGTTCCCTGAGAATGTGCTTATTTATAAAGATGTTACCTCAATTGTCTGTAGTTAGTACTTTAGGCTTATTCATACCATAGTAAAATTTAGTTGTAGACCTGAACTGACACTGCGTATTGGATTGTGAAAGACTTGAAAAGACTCCAAAATACTTACCTTTCACCATTTTACTCTTGCGTAGAAGCAGACGATGTCTTTGTATATATATTTTTTTCATTGAAACTTCAAAGGTTGTCATTGCACACATTTTGAGTACTGTGTTTTTAGTTTTCACAAGTTTGTGTGTCTTGATGTGGATTTCTTTGAGTTTATCCTGTTTTATGAACTTCAATCTGTAGGTTTATGTCTTTTGCCATATTTGGGGAACATTTAGCCCTCATTTATTTGAATACATTTTTTGGCCCTCACTCCTTCTCTCCTTCCAGGACCCTGATGACATGAATGTTAGATCTTTGATTGTAGTTCCGAAGGTTCCTGAGGCTCTGTTTTTCTTCCTTTTTCCCCCCAGTATGTTTTATCTCACTCTTCTCAGGCTACCATAACAAAACACCATAGACTGGGTGGCTCAAACAACAGAATTTTTCAGTTTTGGAGGCTGGGAAGTCCAAGATCAAGGTGTCAGCTTTGGCTTCTGGTGAGGGCTCTCTTCCTGGATTGCAGAAGGCCATGTTCTTGCCGTGTCAAGCCTTTTTTTCCCTTTTTTTCCTTTTTTTTTTTTCTTTCTTTCTTTCTTTCTTTCTTTCTTTCTTTCTTTCTTTCTTTTCTTCTTCTTCTTCTTCTTCTTCTTCTTCTTCTTCTTCTTCTTCTTCTTCTTCTTCTGTTTATTTTGTGCTTACAGGTGAGAGAAATCTTTCTCTTTCTCTTCCTGTAAAGGTTTAAGTCCTATCTGGTTAGGACCCCAGCCTTATGACCTCATTTAACCTTAATTACCTCTGAAAAGCTCTGTGTCCAAATACAGTCACATTGAGAGCACTTCAACATGAATTTGGGGGACACACAATTCAGTCCATAGCATTCTGCCCGTGGCTCCCCCAAATTCATGACCATGCAAAATACCTTTGCTCTATCCCAGCATTCCCTCAGATCTTAACTCATTCCAGCATCAAGTCTGAAGTCTTACCTAAATATCACGTAAATCAGATCTGTGTGAGGCTTGAGGTGTAATTTAGCCTGAGGCAAAATTCTTGTCCAGCTGTGAACCTGTGAAACCAGATAAGTTATGTGTTTACAAAATATGAATGTGGGACAGGCATATGATAGATATTGTGATTTCAAAAGGGAGAAATAGGAAAGAAGGAAAGAGTGAGAGGTCTCTAGCAAGTCCAAAACATAGCAAGACAAACTCCATGGAGTCTTAAGTCTTGAGAACAATGCTCTTTGACTTGATGGCCCACCTTCCAGACCCACTGAGGCCATGATCCCACTTTCTGGGCCCACTGGTACAGCAGTCCCACCACCAAGGCCCTGCTGAACATCCCTGCCTCCAAAACTTTGGTTGTTGGCCATCTGGCCTGTTCAAATGGAGGTGATGTCCTCACCCTCTGAAACTGAGGATGTAGTTTCAAACTGATGATCCTGAAATTGGCTTTCGAGTCATTCTTTTTTTGAAGCATAGAGCATGTCTAGCTGAGTAGCCCTATTGTCTGGTCCTGTAGGATCTAAGAAGTCCCAGTCTTCCTCCATTTGTCTAGTTTTCCTGTCCCTTTAGTCCCAGCTGGCAGTGTTTCTGTTGGTATAATCCCATTTTTATTCCTGGCTTCTGTGAAGAAGGCTGAACTTAATCACACCCATGAGTCACACCCATGATCTCTTTTTCAAGTGGTTGTTTAAGCCACACCCTTAGTGTTCTCTTCCGAACCAGTTTTCTCAGTTTTGCAATACGGGTGGACAGAATTTTCCAAATCTCCAAGTTCTAGGGTTTTGTTTTTTGTTTGTTTTTGCTTAACAGTTCCTTCTTCGGTTCATCTCTCTCCTCTCATATTTTGTGATAAGCAGGAAGGAGGACCCAGGCTGCACGTTCAGTACTTTGCTTGGAAGTCCATGTTGAACGTCCAGTTTCATTGCTCACAAGCTGTACCTTCCACAAAACACTAAAACACCGCTCAGCCCAGTACTTTGCCACTTTACCACAAGGATTGCCTTCCTTCCAGTGTCCAGTAATGTGTTCCTCATTTCTGAGATTTCATCAGAATGGGCTTTAACATCCATATTTCTAGTATGCACCTCAAAACCGTCAGACTCAACCTGTTACCCAGTTCCAAAGATGCGTCCACATTTTAAGGTTATTTGTTAGAGCAGCACCCCTCTCCTAGGTACCCAAATCTGCTTGAGGGTGCCATTACAAAATACTGTAGACTGGGGGGCTCAACAGAAATTAATTTCTCATAGTTCTAGAGGCTGGGAAGACCAAGACCAAGGTGCCAGCTGATTTGGTTTCTGGTAAGAGGGTTCTCTTCCTCGCTTGTAGATGGCCATCTTTTTGCCATGTCCTCACAGCCTTTCCTCCGTGCGTGCATGTGGTGTGGAAAGAATCCTCTCTTCCTGTTCTCACAGGGCTACCAATCCTATCAGCTTAAGACCCCATACTTACGACCTCATTTAATCTCAACCTTCTAAAAGCCCTTTCTCTAGTCACCCATGGGTGGGGGGCGGTTAGAGCTTCAACATGAATTGGTGGTTTTGGAGTGGTTGACATATAATTCAGCCCATAGTAATTTTCTCTCTGTTCTTCAGGTTGGGTATTTTCTCTCTTCAACTTCACTGATTCTTTCTCTGCCCCTTGCAGCCTGATGTTGAGTCCATCACTGGGTTTTATTTCAGGTATATTTTTCTGTTCCATTTGATTTTCTGTATTCTGTGTTTTTGTTTTTGTTTTTTCCCGAGGCTTTTTAAAATGCGTGTCAAGCATGTTTGTAATTGTCCATTGAGGCATTTTATGATGGCTGTTTTCAAATATTTATCAGGTAATTCTAGCAGCTGTATCGTTTCAGTGTTGGCATCTGTGAGTTACCTTCTGCAAGTGCAGATTTTCCTGGTTCTGTGGGTGATGGTGATTTTCAGTTGAACTCTGGACATTTTGAGTGTTACCAGACTCTGTATCCTGTTCAAAGCTTCTGTTTGGACAGGCTTCCTCTGACACCGCTCTGGTGAAGAAAGGGCTGAGGGGAGACTGCCTTGTTACTATAAGTTGGTGTTGGAAATGCAGGTTCATCGGCCTCTACTGACACCTGGATCGGGGTCCTCACTACTGCTAGGTAGGGGTGGGAGTTACAACTCCCCACTAGGCCTCTACTGACACCAACCCAGTAAAGAAGGGGAGAAATATCTTGTCTCTGGGTAGAATTGGAGGCCTACTCTCCCCACAGTGTCTCCAATGACACTGCCAGGGTGGAATGGGGAAGGGGTTGGTTTTGAAAATTCTGTCCCTGACTTGACCCTCTCTGACACCAATGTGGTATGTGTGAGGAGCCTATCACAGACCGGAGAGGGTAGAAGTGTAGGCTCCCCATTTGGTCTTTAGTGTTTGGCTGGAGTAGGATGGGTATGGTCTAAAAATTGCCTGTCTTGCTAGGCCATTCCTTTCCTCCTCCTTTGTCTAGAAAGAACAGACTTTTCTTGGGCCCTTTTTGGCCTGTGCCCATTGACATTTCTCAGTTGCCAGCTTCGTCAGAATCTGATCTGGGATAAATGAAGCAAAACAAAACAAAACAAAAACCACAACCGAAGGAACTCAGTGCTGTGTTGTTCTCCAGGTCTTGAAGAAGGACCAGTCTGTACTCTCTCCACCTTTCAGAATCATCTTATGTGGTTTTATACATAATATCCATACTCTAGAGAAATAGGGGAAAATACTACTACATGTCCCATGACATCCTTTCATTTGACACCAAAATCACAGGTCAAGTTGTCAAAGCCTTGTGGTATAGACAGGTCATCTGCAACCAGTTAGGATTAAGGACCAAGAGGAATGCTTACTTGTTCCTCAACTGTAAGTTGGCAAGTTGGTAGGTAGAAACTACCAGGCTGCAAGCTTCATCTACCTTTTAGGGAACTATAGTTTTTAAGTTGAAACACTAGTATTTAATTGTAGATTACAAATTTCAGAAGGAAAGATAGATATGACTAAGAATATAAACTATAGGGTTAATTTTTTTATTTATATTTGTTCCAAGAGCATGTAAAAACCACTGGAGAATTTACTTAAGAA